CGGGCCGGGGACCCCGGCGGCGGCTTCCGGAGGGCCGGAGAGGGCTCGGTCCGCCTGCCCGCCTGCCTGCCGCGCCGGCCAGATTGGAGGGAAAAGTGGGAGACCAGGGGCGGCGCCCCGGCGGGGAGGAGGGTGTGGCATGCGTGGGGACCCCCGCTCCGGTCGCCCCGAGCCTGGCCTTGGTGTCACTGGTCACCAAATTCGTGCCCCAAATGTTAATTTCCGAATTTCCGTGGGTCGCTGCCAGGACGTGGAGGACACCCTCCCCTCAGTGACAAGTGTCACAGCAGTCAAGGGGCAAGTGTGTGTGCAGCGCTGGGTCCGCTCAGGGCTGACCCCCACTCTTGATGGAAGGGCAAGGAAGGGGTTGGTTGGAAGTGGTGGGCAGAGCCTCGTCCAGGCTTGTGCTGCTTTCAGCCCCCAGCTACACACACCTCCAGGTCTGGCTATGGCTAGGGTCTAGCTGTGTGTCAGGGGCCCAAGGATGGGGTGTGGCCATCTCCATCCTAAATCTCCCTTTCCTGTTGTAATGGGAGTTGCCAGCTCCGACTTAGAGCCCTGGCAGACTCCTCTCCCACCCACCCTGCATCCTTTCTTATCAGTGGCAGAGCTGAAGGGTGGCTTGAGAGAGGGAAACTTTAGTGTGTCCCCCTCCCTCAGTGTGCACTTACCCCCCACAAAAAGTCCCAAATGGACATTCCAAATAAGCACAGGGTGTGCTGTGCAAATGTCATTTCAAGGCAAGGCCTCCAGCTCTGTTCCCTTTTGACCGCCTTACTGCCCCTACATAGAAATCCTAGGTTCCTCGTCCTACACTCCTCTCCCTACCTCTGAAATACGGGGGCAGTACTCCAAACACGCAGGCCTGCCTGCCTCCTCCCCTCCAGCATCTGGATTCTTCAAAGGAGACCTTATTTGAGCATCTTTCTTTATCCACTACCAGCTCTCTCCCCAGCCCCCATTTGGGAGTCACCAGAGCTGATAGGATAGCCCCCCCTTCTTGGGGGGAAGGTAGTAAACACCCCTCTTCATCTGAATCTCCCCTACCACCCACACCCCGGACTCCTCTCTCTGCTCTGAACTTCCACTGCACTTTATCTGTATCTCTGTGACTCTTATCACTGTCTGCCTTATTTTACAGTTACTTTTGTGCTTGGCTGATGAACTCTTGGGGTGGAGTTTGATTCATCTCTGTTCTCCCGCCTTGGTCAGCACCCTGCTTGCAGACAGCATCTGCATAGGGTCGAAGCCCCTTCTGAGGCTTTCTTCCAGGACCCTGGCTTGTCTGACTCCTGGACTGTTGCTGTTGTA